AAAATACAAACCAAGAAGAGCTAATGCTTCACGTGTTTCAAGAAACTGTTGAGCATCATTAACACCCTTGATAGTTATTGCATTGCCTTCAGATGCGTAGCGAAATTGATCAGCCGGTACTTGAAACATTTTTTCCAATAGAGAAATCCAACAAGCGAAGCGACTTACGTAGAGCAAGAGATTTCATTTCAGGTTGATTGACTTGTGTGCACAATTGGTAAAATATATGATAATTTCGTTCATCTGGTGCTTGATAAATAACTCTACGAGAGAGCAAAGACGGTCAGGTGAGAATTTTATCGAATACGAAACATACCTTGATTTCTCTAATAAATAAGTTCTCATCGATGCACCACAAATGTGATTTTTTAAAAAGCCAATTTCGATATATTTGCCGAAGCGTGATGAGTTATCATTTCGTATTGTTTTTGCATTTCCTATCGCCTCCATAATTGGACTCGAAGCTAAAACTTTCTTTTCAATCTGTGTTTCCTCTAATAATCCACCAACATTTGCGAAATATCGCATAGCATATTTGGCACTGACTGTTTTCCCCGCGCCTGATTCCCCTGACACAATAATCGATTGATTTTTCGCAAAGTTCACCATTGATTGATATGCTAATTCAGCTGTTGCAAAGATGTGCGGCTCTAGTAATTGAACATCTTGATCTCGATACAATTGAATGGTGTCATTGCCGTAAATGGAGAGATATTCATAAGGATTTATTGCCACTAACACAATTCCACATTTCGTATAGATTTGAGATTTGTTAAAACGAGACTCGAGATTATATAGAACTAAATGAACAGAATTTGATATTTAGAATCTATTTTACCTGTTTTATCATTTACCTTCAGGTTCATTTAGGTATGAGAGTGCAGTAAGATCTTTTTGACCAATGAGAATCTCTGGATTGCGCAATGGCGGAAGATCTGAGTCCGATTTAACTGGAATAGTTTCCTAATGAAATTTTTATGAACAAACTTCAACCATCGTATTTCTCTATGCTTACATTTCCTCCATCTGCCGATGTTACTTGAAGTTGTCCTTTACCATCATAATTTGTCGCGACAGTCACCGCACGCCAAACAGTTTCCCGATCGGGTAACCAAACGCGTGCACCCTAAAATGACACAGTAACTCCTCTAGTTTATGCACAACAGTCAATTGAAAATTCAAAGCAGCCTCTTCTACTGCATCATCATTTATCCACTATCGATGCTATCAAATCATGCGGATATAAACTAAATGTAGCACAGCACACATATGCTCCACAAAATATACAAACTTGAAAACAATTGACTGGCTCGACTATTCGAAAACAAAAGAAATTGAAACAAACAACAACGAATGCATAAACTCTAATCGTCGCGCTCTTCTCCCTTTTCGGGAGAAAGGAAATCTTAAACATCAGATTGATCTTTCTCTTTTTCACACAATGCTTAGAACTTGGAATAAGCGACAACAACGAAACATACCTTTGTATACAATTCTCGAACAGACATTCTTCACTC